ATGTGATTATTTCTGAGAGCTTTTACTGTAACAAAATTCAAATTCTAAACTCGAATCGATAAAGTGAACAGGGCCTTATAATTGTTGTATTTTGGAGACCATAATAATATAAGAAAGAACTTAAGAGGATAAAATTTATGGGTGCGTTTAGAATTCGTTTCAAAATGATTTTGTTTTTTGTATGAAAATAAAAATGAAAACATTTTCAATTTCAGACTGAAATCATTTTTGAAAATGCGTTTGATAGTTTTATCAAGAGATTATTCTCAGTGTAAAAAAATATATTAATGTCTCTCTTTCCAGCGCCCTTACATGCCCTCATTGAATTTTGATGGTAGAATGACATTCAAGACTCGGAAGTTGACCCTTTTAGCTCACTGTTATCGTCTCGACACAAAAATTATTCTCTAAATTATTGTTGTTTCTTATTTTCATATTGTTTTCTGTCATTGTTGATTCCCTTTTATGTTGGGTGCGTTTGGAACTCGTTATAAAATAATTTTATGTTTTGTATGAAAATAGAAATGAAAACGGTTTCAATGTCATATAGAAATCATTTTTAAAAATACGTTTGGTAATTTTTTCAATAGATTATTTTCAGTATAAAAAAATTCATTAATGTCTCTCTCTCTACTCGAGAGAGGAAAAAACAGAAACAAAAAATGAAAAATAACTAAAAGTCGTTTTTCATTTCTCTCTTATTTTACACTAAACCAAAAAAAAATCATTTTCATTTTAATTTTTTGTCTTTATTGCGCCAAACGATGTTTTAAAAACGTTTTTATTTTTTCTTTCTCAAAAAATGTGAAAAAAAAAACAAGATTAATTGTAAACACGGCCTATAAGTTAATTAATCTGGTGTCTTAGCTTGGACCCACTTAGATCATAGAGACGTACAAGCTTTTGGGTTTGGTTCGTGCATCTCTTCTTTTCGGAATTCAGATTATTTGATTGTTTCATTTCAATGTTATAGCAACGTGCATATATTGACTTGTAATAGCTTTCTTTCACTGCTACATACTATTATTTTTTGTAGTAGTTTTAATAGGTCATCCAGTTAGTGAGGAAAAATTTCTTCCCTTGCATTCGCTAGTTTAAGCAAGAAACGACATAGTTTTTGGTTACATGTTACATATTTCTTTCCTGGTTGTGTATTGGGACTTTTCAATTGAAAACATTGGGACGATGATGCAGGAAAGGAAGTCAATGAATCCTTGTTCAATGGTTTTTTTTTTTATTATCTCCTCCCTTTTCCTCTTATTTTTCTCTAACGAGCTATAGACATATAGTTGCCATATATTTTTGTGCATGGTTTCACTTTCTTTCCTTATGATGAAATAGTAATATATGCCGGTGTAATTAATTATTATAAATTGTCCAACTTAGGAGACCACAATACAAAGCTCTCACATCTAACTTTTATAATTATTATAAATTTTATCAATTCGAGTTTAAAATTTAAATTTTATTATAATAAAAAATTTTAAAAAATAATCACATTTAATTTTTTTATTATAATAAAAAATTTTCACATAAAATTATATCTTAATTTAAATTAAAAATTTTAATCAATAAACTAAATGGTGCGTTATTAAGCACTATAACAACGAAGAATGTGGATAAAATTTGCAGGTTCATTAATCTGGTACTGCCCTTGCTTGGACCCACTTCGAGTTGGATCCTAGTGACGTAGGAGCTTTTGGGTTTTGGTTCATGCATCGTTTCTTTTCGAGTTCAGATTATTATTCGATTGTTTTGTTTTTTGTGTTCCAGCAACTTGCATATATATATATATGTGACTATTATTTAAGCCTTGTCATTCTCAACATATAACCATTAGTGAGCAATTTTCGTAGATTTAATAGGTGACCCAGTTACAAGAGACAATTCCTTCACGTGCATTTCGTAGTCTGACGAAGAAACGACGTAGTTTGGGTGCAGTTATGGCTCTTTCCCAGTAGTGTGTTAAAACTTCTCCTTTTTATAAAGAGAGGATTTGAAGAATAGAAACACTATACAAAATGGGCAGAACAGAGAAAATTGTTGAATTTATTTTTAAAGTGCACGAGTCTGAATTTTTACTCTTTATTCTTGATTAATACTAAAAAGAATATAAATTAAGAATAAAGAATAAAAAATTCAGAATCATGCATTTTAAATGATATTTGTCTCTTTTTTCTGAAAAAAAAAAATGTAATGAAGTGGAAAAAAAAATGTAACAAAGTTCGTGCCGGTGCAGGAAAAGAAGTCGGTGAACCCTTGTTCTATGGTTTCTTTGTTATCTCCTCACTTCTCTATTCTCTATTTCTACGGAGCTAAACATATAGTGGCCAGATACTGGTGTTCATGGTTTCTTTTCCATTTTTGTTGAAATAGTAATTGTACTGTCTCAACTTTCTTTCGATTGTCAAATACTACCTTAATTTCCAAGTTGGTTGGCTATGATTGCAACGTGTATTTAGATTTAGATCAAAGTTCAACGCTTGATTTCCTTGGTTGTGCTTTCAACCAGATGAAAAAGAGGGAAACAATGGAGACTTTTTTCTCTGAATTTTCAAACCAAGTTCATCGTTTAGTCCAAAGTGGAAGAAAAATGGTAAAGCATCTTTATAAACGAATAATACTCGGGCAAGATGAACCAAAATATCAAAGTTCACTGATTTGGGTCTATATTTAGTGCATAGATCATTGATGCGAATTAGTTTGTTGGCATCATTGTCCCCAAAAGTTAAAACACCCAATAGAGATCGAAACCGTGGAATATAACTTTCAGCATTATCAAAGTTTTGACATAATATTTTTTCTTTTAAACTTTTTTTCCTTTATGAAGAAGAAGAAAATGTGAAGGGAAAGATTGGCATTAGCATATCCTCTAGGGTTGTATTAGACTCTTATAGATGGTTACATAAAACCTGAATCTTTGACCATATATCCAGACATGGTAATTCTTTATTGTTAGTGAAGTTAAAAAACATCACCAGGTACATGTACGGAAACGTCTATGGTGGTTTCAGATTGGATCTCCAATTCGATTTCGGTACAAAATTCACTATGGGATGACCTCACGATAGTCTAATCACGAACATGATCTTCATGCTCCAAGTCACAATCCTCCACAATCATGATTATCATCGCGTCCTTGATTGTTCACAGTGTGTATGATTAATATAAAGCAAAGTCCGAATAATTACGATAAATCCACAACTCAAGAACCTATAAAAGACTAGAAGAGAGAGAGAATTAACAAAGTTTTGATATATTTCTATCATGTTCTTCTATTTGTGCTTTGTTATCTAATTATTATAGCCACATCTATCACAAAAAGGAGGAAGCACAAAATATAAAAACTATCTCTCTTATTATTTGTTAAAAAGTAAGTTACTAAATTACTCAATCTATCATGATATTAAAAATATTCCATAATATTTTTAATGGGATACTTTTTTTATTTTATATCTCGTGAATTTTATTTTAAATAAAATTTTGACGTTGACTTTTAGATTATACACCATTACGAGTTATGACGATAGCAAATTGGTTTAAGGTGACGTTTGCCATGTAGTTTATTTTCAATTTCCAAAACTCTTATTGTACCTCCTATTATGTTTGATAAACAAATAGTGTTTCCTAACAATGTTATATTCAGAAAAACAAAAAGGAAATTGTGTGGATGGCACAGGACGTAATTATTAAAAAAAAAAAAAAACGATTGTCCTTCTTTTGTTTCCATGAAATATTTTTTGTTTTGAGGAACAAAAATAAAAAATATCTTTTCTACCATCAATCCTCAATCGTGACCAAATGATTAGGACAATTTGGACGTATGACGTGTCTGAACTCTCAATTTTGCCGAGCCTGAAAAAATGTTATAACTTGCGAATTCAATCGTTTTCATTTTGTAGCATATTGCAGCTCAATGAAAACGAGAAGGCCGATTGTACTACTGTATGTCAATTGATAATTTTCTCCTTACTTCCTCAATGATATATAAAGATAAGATAATAGAATGCGCATAATTTTGCGGGCTACGTGTTATTTTAGCTCTTTCTTCCTAATCATCCACGTTTTGTTAATATTCAATCCCATAATTAAAAAGACGTTTAGTAAAGAGATTCATATCATGATTTGAATCATTATTTATGATTCACTATAGTATTTTTTCTCATAAAAAATACACGTAAATTAAAAATAGTTCTAATTTCATGATTCTAATCACGTCTTATAAGCAACTTGATCGACTACTGCAATACCAAATCACTAATCAACAAATTTAAAAAACCTCTTTGAATATATATATTGAGATTACTATTCCAAGAATAAAAAACAAATACGATTGTAATGACGATAAACGCGTCACTATAATTATATATGAATTGACTTGCTCTATGATTATCAATCTATCACGATTAGATTCTGAAAATCTTAGCCCCAGCCCCAACTAGGCAATATTGGCTAATAAATTAGACACATCAACTTCCATTGAATATAACTATAAACTACCAATATCATATTCCTTATATCAATTTAAATAAGCCATCCGTATTCCACAAAAAAATAAATAAATAAAAATAAATAAGCTTTCCTGTGGAACACCACTTATATAAAGAAACAAAAAAAAAATGATAGCAGAAGAAATGAAGAATAATAGATAACATAAAATTATTTAAATATAACGTATAAATCTCATTTATTTTACCAATTTAAATTTAAATTTTAAATTTTATTACAATAAAAAAATCTTAAAAATAATCACATTTAATATTTTTATTACAATAAAAAATTTTCACATAAAATCATATCTCAACTCAAATTAAAAACTTAAATTAGACATAGTAGTACGAGTATCTCCAGATACATGAACCAACAGCATAAGCAAAATCCAAATTTTTGAATTGAACGACGATAAAACAAAACCAACGATAGTGATTGATGCATGAAAATCTCATCTAGCTAAAAAGCTTCTTTTTTTCTTAATACACAAACATAATACTATTTACCAGTCCACCAAAAGAGCATTCAAATAGGTAAAATAAAAAGTACAAAACACGCAAAGAAAAAAAAAAAAGCATAATCATCATCAGAAAGTTTGATCATATCAGTTACAAAACTCAAGCACATGAACATTAAAAAAAAAAAACAGAGTAATAATTCGGTGTACTAGAACTCTACTCCCTAATACGATTGCTGGCGGTGATGCGCAACGACGTCGTCAAGCATCCAGAGACCCTCCGAGTCAGCCTGGTTGAACTCACCAGTACCACCGCCGGCGATTCCACTCAGCTGATGACTCGAACTCGTAACCTCGGGCTCCAGACCCAGGAGCGACTCCAGGCTCGAGATTTGCTCTTTGAGCTCCATCTCGCTCGGCTGATTACCAGCCAGCTCGTTTTGAAACGGGTTGTAGTAATTGGCTCCGTACGACAGTGGTGGCGCTGTCGTAGCCGAGACGCACTGCTTCTTCGGCGGCGGCGGCTGTTGGGCGGCGTCGGCGGCGTTGGCGGGGGCGAAGTTGAGCTTGGCCTTGTCGCCGCGGATGCGCTTGGCGGCTTGGTCGTAGGCGCGGGCGGCTTCCTCGGCGGTGTTGAAGGTTCCGAGCCAGACACGGGCTCCTTTCTGTGGGTCCCGGATTTCGGCTGCCCATTTTCCCCATGGCCTTTGTCTGATTCCTCTGTAGATATTCTTACGAGTTCTGTTTCCACTCTTTTTGCTATTATTATTGTTATTATTGCCCTCTTGTTCTTCTTCTTCCTCAGCAGCTTGGGTGTTCTTTTCGGGCAGCTTCTTCTTGCCTGTTACTAGAAGATGGGTAAAAGAGAGAGAGAAAAAAAAAAATTCGTGACTTTTCTGTAACAAGCAAACGCATAGAATAATAACTTGCAGAGATTATTTTCTCTTCTCTGTTTTTTGTTTTTTGTTTTTAAGATTTATTTATCTCTATTTCTTAGAGAAAACCCAAAAAAATAAAAAAAAACACATTATTGGAGAAATTTGTTTTGTTTTGGTAATTCTGGCTCAACGTGAAACAATTCTCCGTGAAAAAAAAAAAAAATTGAGATGTTACTTCATTAAAATATATCAAGGTAACCATATGAATATTAAAAAAAAAAAAAACTTTCTAGGAGATGTTACTCTTTTTGAGAAGAGTAGTGATATTATTATTATTTAATTTTTTTCCTTTTTGGTTCTGACCCAGCACACAAAATTAATAATTCATGCAAGCTAACTTTCAAACCAAGAAATTCACCGTACGTTACATATAATTTTTTTTCTTAAAAAAAAAAATCACTATACATCTTCCTCTACTCCCATCCCAAAAGTGACAAAAGAGAAAATAAAATAAAAAACAATCTTCAATAGTACTTTTTTTTTGCTGATCACAATCTTCAATACTTCAAAAATATAAAATCTATAAACCAGAAAAAAAAAAAAAACCCAAATAACTTCAAAAACCAGCACAATTTAGAACATATCATGAAAAGAAAAATCATAATAATGTATCCAAGAACTAGAAAAAGGTTGAAGATTTGATACCTTTGGTGGGGGCTGGCCGTGGTGATTGCTTAGGCTTTTGAGGAGCAGTCGTATGGTCTTTGGTCTTAGTAACCTTGGAGTAGTTGTAGCTGTCGTCTAGGCCGAGGAGGTCGGAGAAGGTGTCGAGCTCCGACCAGAGCTCCTCCGGCGACAGCTTCCGGCCACGCTTGGCGGCGACGAAGCCGGAAATGATTGCACCACCGCACATCCTTGTGGGTCCACTTGTCTTTACTAAAAAAGGAATAGAGAGAGAGAGTGTAGAGAGAGAGAGAGATCTGAGAGAGGCTTCTTTCCTGAGCTCTGGATTTATAGAACGAACGGTTACGACAAATAATCCCAAGCACAAACAGACAAAAATCTCGATAACCCTCTTGTTGAATATTTGGGCCCACTTTTTTTTTATGTGGGGTCGAGGGTGTGATCCGACGGCAGGGAGGGAATCAGTAAAGTGAAGGTGGGGAAAAGCCAGAGCGTACGTGGGTGTACAGTAATGGAAGGGGCCCAATCTGATAGTAAACGATTAACCGTACGATTCGGGAAGGAACGGGGTCCACTTGTGAGCAAGTTGGTCCAGAGGTGATGACGTGGAAGGCGATAATTGAAACCGCAAGTTGGCCGGGACTAGCGTACGGGGCTGTTACTTTGCCATGCGCAGACACGCGACGCAGCCATGCCCATGCTGGTGTAAATGAAACGCTTTTGTTAAAGGCTTGGAGGGAGGTTTTGAGAGCAAAAGATCTCGACCGTTAAATCACATGGGTTTCATAGGCCTCTTTAGTTCGCCTATTTGAATTGAGATGTAATTTTATATGAAAATTTTTAATTATAGTAAAAAATTAGATGTGATTTTTTATAATAATTTTTAACTATAACAAAACTGAAATTAAAAACTCGAATCAGTAAAACGAATGAGGCCAGAGTGTGATCTATATAGATTCTATAGCAATGAAAGATATAGGGCTTGTTCTTTTGAGTGAAAAACTCAAAAAAAGTAACTCGAGTTACAACTTTATTCGAGTTCATGTTTTTTTAAGTTTAAACTCGAGTTTAAACTCGAGTTCAAACTCGAGTTTAGGACTAAAACTCGAGATTGAACTCGAGTTTAGGACTAAAACTCGAGTTCAGGTTTTCCCTTCAACTCGAATTCAGAAACTCGAACTCAAATTAATGAATATTATTTTTTCTATTCTTAAAAATGCTATAACTTTTTCGTTTTAATTCTGATTGAGATGATTTTTTTTTCTATGTGTTGACAACGAAAAGACGAATAAAACCCGACCCATATACTCTATTAAAATTTTTCATCAGCATTGAGTTTTTATTAAAATACTATCTAAATACAAATTTAAGTTTTGACTCACTCAAACACAAACTCAAAAAGATTCTTATCTCAAACCATAATTCAAATGTATACAACCAAACACAAACTCAAGTTACAAGTTCAACTCAAGTTATAACTCAAATTCAACTCAAGAATTATACTCAAGTTAAACTCCAAAAGAACAAGTCCATAAATTTTAAACTTGCACCACTTGTAAGTGTATTTAGCATTCTCAAAACGTTTAACAGCTAAATTGAGGAAAGAGACTTGTACTAGTAGTCACGTTGTTTTTACTTGATGGCTAGAGAGTTTGAGTATAACAATGATCTTAAACCACAAATATTTGACTTGTCTCGAATCTACAATAAGTTTTCTAAATATATATGACAAGTTTTTTAAAAGAAATATTATTTGTGCATGAGGTAGGGTTTTGGTATGTTTTAGTTAATTATAGGAGAATTAATGTATCGTTTATATAAAATCTATAGATTAATTCATCTTGTAATTTGATTAGAGGACGTTTAGTTTATATATTCAGAATCATGATTCAGAATCATTCTCGTTTTACGTGTATTTTTTGTGAGTGAAAACACTGTAGAGAACCATGAATCATGATTCAGAATCATGAACGAATATAGAAAACAAACGTCCCCCGTCTTTATCCGAGTTCTTTCAGTTTCATTAAAAGAACAACGGTTTGAATAGTAAGCTGAAATTAAGTATGAAAACTGAGGTTAGCGAACGTTTTAATGGTTTAAAAACTTTTAGGGTTGTGTGATTCTTTCTGAGGGAATTTTGTAGTTGTTAAAAAATTTACGTTATCGTTTTGTTTTTGTATGACCTGATGCACTAAGAACGTGTTACTAAAAAAGTCCTCTCGTTTAAGTATTGGTATTTAGAGCATAAAATATGGAGAAAAGCTATGAAATCTTATCATTAAATATTGAGAAAAGCTATGAAAATACAACAATCAGCATTACTTTAAAAAAAAAAAAAATTATAAAAGTTCATTTCAAAAAAGAATTATAAGGGCATATTTGGTGCACCGTATTATATTGTAGCGTATTGTATTGTATGATATACTATTTTATTACATTGTATAATTTTTATACAATACGGTTTTTAGTTTGTGGTATTATTAAACATTATACTATTTTTATAATTATAATCTCTTTACGTATTAGTTTGTAATAAGATAAAATTTAGCCTAATCATAATCTAATTCGACTCTAATCTCGACTAGAACCCAACATTTAGAGGAAGCAAGGGAGAAAGTAGAATTGCTACATATGGGACTTTTTACAAAAAAAAAATTGAAAAAATGAGGTCAAATTGTAATTTTCAAAGAATTAAGGGGCAAAAATATAATTTTGTAAAAATTGGGGGTCAAAATATAATTTTGAAAAAATTGAGCGGTCAAAACATAATTTTTAAAGTTTGAGGGTCAAAATATAATTTTAAAAAATTTAAGGATCAAAATGTAATTTTTAAAAAATATAAACCCAACATTAATCTAGTCTCAAAACTCAACCCCAACGTCAGTCCCATAACCCGATCCCGAGCCTTGATATTTGTGAAATGTTTTATATGTTTTTAATATGATATTTTAAGTTAAATTGTATAATACGGTCTAGTACATAGGTTTTTTTTTTTCTGAATTAGATATCACACTTCGTATTGTATTAATTTTGAATCTCGCATTAAATTATATAATGTATAAATATCACCAAATATTGTGTTATTAAATAATATAATATGGAATGCTTATACGGTGTACCAAACATACTTTAAATATAATATTTTAGATTGCCAAACTTTTAAAAGTTGATAATGTCAAATTTGTTCGAAATTGAAGAAGATTGTTGCACTCAAATAAGATTAAGGATAGCTCAGATTAGCCACGATAAACATAAACATCATATTTTGTCTATGGTTTTTACTGATATTAAATCAAATGTAAAGTGTTAGACTGCAGGGTTTTAAAGAAACTGGCAAGACGAAAGGATTGTTTGGTAATTTCAATCTAAGTAAGATTGAACATTGCATTTTTACTTGAATGTAGGGGTGAATTTTGTAATTTCTCAAAAAATGGTGTATGGCTCGTTACGCATCTAGTAAAATTTCAATAGTAGAGTGGAAATATAGCAAAATTTCTAAAATATTACAAAAATAATATCATAAAAATAATGACTATATCAATACGTAATACAAAATGTGGCATCATTATGATAATGATTATGTCATTTTACTATATTTATAATGTTCTAAAAAGTTTGCTAAATTTTAAATTAAGGTATGAAATTTTGTAATTATCACTTCAAAATCAATTATGCAAAACAATTTTAGTGATAAAAGGAGAAAGAATAAGCTCTCTCGTAGTCGGATACTTATGGGATGTTTGGTATGCGGATTTGTGTCATGATTTGAATCATAATTCGTGACTCGTTACAGTGTTTTCTCTCAAAAAACGCATGTAAACCGAAAATGGTTCTAAATTATGGTTTTGAATCCGTGAACTAAACGTTAATTTTTTTAATTTCATCTAGGCAAAACGGGACAGTAAATTAAGGTCAATTTTAGTGATAAAAAGGAGAAATGATAATCACTATAAGGGAATTTATGTGTACATATATTCCGTGTCACAATAGAGGACATAAAGCAAAGAGATAGTTCATAGCCGGCTTTTGGGAAGCAAATGATTCACAAAAAGAAGAAAGGCTTTCTGTTTCTGCTTCCCAACTCCTAAATTGTCATCCTTCCAAGAAACAAACAACAACCACCTCCCATATATGTTTGCCTCAGCTTTCTCTTATATACATGTATGATGTAAGATTTTTGACCTTACTCACCCTCATAAACCGGTCCCCACGTTATCATCGTTTTTTGCTCTCGGACTTGTTGTAGTTAGAAAAATTACCTCTAAATTTTCAATTTTTGTTGACAATCAACTACGGTACTTGTAAAATTATCATAATGTGTCTCATTTTATTAAATTTATTTTATTTATTTTATTAAATTAGAGTATTAAAATTTGAGAAATTAAAAAGTTTGCATTACATTTAAATTGTGATAAAATTTTTCGTTGAACGTGTTTTTTCTACATTAATTTAACACAATCATTATTAAAATGAGGCATATTGTCATAATTTTACAAGTTAAAAATTTAGAAACAAATTACTAAAGTTATACAAGTTCAGGAGATAAACGTATAAAATACCATTTATAGTAGCTCACTTTTAATATAAGAATTACATTTACTTTAAAATCAATGTCGTAATATAAATAAAATTAGAAAAATTGAGATTATTAAAGTAAAATATCTCATTTTTTTTAACAATAAAAAAATCTAAAGTACGATGTTTTTTCGCCAAGTAGAATAATTAATGAGACGTTTGGTTCGTGAATTCAAAACTATAATTTATGATTTTAATTTTTAAAATTTAAATTTTTTATGAGAGAAAAATAATGTATCAAGAATTATGATTCAAGACCAGAGACGAACTCTTAAAACAAACATTCTATAAGACTTTTTTACGTGTTTGCTTGTTTAAGTTAAAGATTTGAGTTGACGTTAAACTCAAACTGGAATTAAAAAATAAATTTATGTGATTAGTGGAAAAAATTAAAATTAAATTTTTTATAAAAAAAATTATGTAACAAAAATTTGAGGTGAGATTCGGCTCCGGAAACTTAACAATATCCTTATTCAGTTTACGAAATTTATGAGGTGCAAAATCAGCCAGAAGATATTTTTGTTTTTATGCTTTCAATGCGTATCCCAGTCTTTATTAGGGTTGGATGAGGTCTGCAGACCCTTTTATTTTTCATTTTTTGCCATATAAGAGGACAGACATAATTAAATGAGACTCTTTTCCTTCTACTGATCACCTCAGAGTAATCATACGATCATTAAGGAGGAAAGCCAAAAAGAAAAAAAAACAAAAAGAAATAATTTAAAATTTCATTAAGTTTACGTGTATAAATTTTTAATTTGAGTTAAAATGTGACATTTTTTAAGAATTTTTAATTATAACAAAAAAAATTAAATGTGATATTTTCTTGAGAGTTTTTAACTATAAAAATTAAAAATTAAAAATTTAAATAGGTGAAATAAACAAAACCTAAGAAACTGTCATTTTCATTATTTCCACACAGAGAAAAAAAGCTTCCAGAGTTGGAAAAGTGCTTCGTATGCTAGCTAATTAGCTGACGTTTAGTTTATAAATTTAAAATTATAATTATAATTTTTAAAATTTAAATTTTTTATAAAAAAAATATTATAATAAAATTAAAAATCATGATCCTAAATTAAACAGAACTCTTAAAATAAAAATCACCTTAGTTTTATTAGCTCCCAAACAAACACAAAGCGACGTGAGGAACGTTTCGACAGATTTCGGGATTTATTTTTTTTATTTTTGGTTTGGAGTTGGGAACAAAAAACGACATGTCGAAACGGCAGTTGTGCCTTGCTCTCATTCCATGTCTTAAAACGACACAAAAACATGGCGTTTTTATTTAGTCATAAAAGACGTCTTTTTTTCAAAACTACCGAGTCGTTTTTTTGAAAACGACCAACTTGTTTTTTTGAAAACTAACCCACATGTCCTTTTTTTTTTTTTTTCTCTAAACCACCGACATGTCCCCAGCCCTACTTTCATCACCCATGAGATTCATATGACGTGCATCCTGGATGTCGTTTTTTTGTCTTGAACAACAAAGTACACTTCAATTATTGTGGATGCAATTTTCAAAGGAACGAAAACATGACAAGTCACAGGTTTCATGCGCTAGAGGACATAAACTCTTAAAAAAAAAAAGAAAAAAAAATCAGAGACATCATCACACTATATTTAAAATACTAAATATACTCTTAAAATACCGATCAATATCTAGTATCCAACTGAGATACCTAACAGTGTCCACCGCCAATGTTGGTGGAAGTGATCATTTGACAATCGTCTCGCTGTTATACTGGGCAGTTACCAATTGATAACTGCCGGTATTTGGCCGAGATACAACCCGGTATTCGACCATGATACTGACTGGCAACCACTAAAATTGGCGATTTTTTAGATGTTGTAGCTGCTAGAAAACATAAAAATTTTAAAAGAAAATTAAAATCACAAAATTATACAGTTAAAATACTCAGTATTTGAGAGTGATACCAGTCAATATCTTAACGTAATACCAGGCGATAACTGCCAATTTCGACGGCGCTACAGCCGTCCCCACCGCCAGAAAACATGAAAAATCACCAACTTATTCACAAAAGCTCCACAACCACGAAACTAGAACTGCAAATTTAAACCGGGATAAACGGATCAACCTGAGGCCCATCACTATTAGTCCGGGCCCGACTCAACCTCAAATTTTTTAAGTTTAGAGCCTAATTAAACTGATCATCTCTCTTTTAGAGTCATGTTTTTTTACAAATTTTTTCTAAAAATATCTTATAAAAATTTCAGATTGTGTCAAACTGGTTCTAAATTTTATGAGCTTATAATTGAGTTAGACCAAACCTTTCTCTCATCCGAATTGGCCTGAAATTTCTCTTCAAACCGCCAGATCTAAGCCGAGCCGGACAGCCTAAATTTACACGTCTAATTGAAACTTACAAAGTTAAAAAAAAAAAAAAGAAGACCAATGCCCCTTACCGTGAACAAAAAACCAAAATAAGTGACGAAGTCCGTGAGGCAAATCTCCTCGATGACAACGAAATGAGGTGATAATCTCCTCGGCTCACGCACAAATCTCGGCGTCAATCTCCAGCAGAAGATCTCCACGTAGGAGATCAAATCTCTTCCTTAATGGTGGCGGTGCGAATAGGATGGACGGAGGTTAGGGAAGTCAGAGAGAGAGAGAGAGAGAGAGAGAGAGAGAGAGAGAGAGAGACTTACAGAATGAGGAAAACCCTAAAATTGAGGGTAAATTTAGGCCCCGTTTATTTCATCGATTTGAGTTTAGAATTCGAGTTTTGTTACAGTAAAAAATTATCAGAAACAGTCACATTTAACTTTTTTATTACAGTAAAATTTTAACATAAAGTCACATCTTAACTCAAATTAAAAACTTAAATCAACGAATTAAACGAATTTTCTGCCGCATGACAAAAAAAGGAAGAATTTTTGTACCTGGCAAATCTCAATCCTCATCTGTCTTCCATGGCAGGTACACTAATTATCACATTTGATTAAGGATGTCATTGAAGTAAATTCGGTAGGTCATCAATTCATTAAATTAATCATGGCGAATGAATCTCAAATGTATCAAATTTGATCATGAATAAATCTGATGGATCTAAAAAATTTACCTAATTTACTCATGGATAAGTCCAAATATCTTTTTTGGGTAAGTCGAAATAAAATTCAAATTAACAAAATTTTATTATAAAATTAATTCTGGATTTTAATAAAGAGAGAAAGAGGAAAATATGTCTAAGACTTGAGATGAATTAAAATTAATAGGCCAATAGTTTACATAAGTTAATAAATAGACCAAATTACTATTTTTGTCCATAACTTGTCTGGTTATGAATTATAACTTGACAAATTATTGTCCATAATTCACGATTTTTATTCATAACTTGTCTAGCTATGAACCACAACTTGACAAATTTGTCCATAATTTATCTAATTATGAATCATAACTTGATAAATTATGACCTATTAATTTTTATAACTAAAAATTGATCTATATACTTTCTTAAACTTTTTATATTGACCTATTTTTTACTATTTCCGTTTAATTAAATCCGACTATTTATTAACTTATCCAAAACTTCAACCATTCATTTCTATTATTCCAAAAGGAAAGTCATTTGTCCTCATCTCTTAAAAAAAGTAATCATAATGATAACACATAAACAAATCACAGATGTTATCTGGAAAACCAATTACCGTATCTGATCATCTAACACAGAGAAAATAAGCTAGGTATACAATAAATTTTTTTTTTCAAAATAGCAGAACCATATTTTCATGTAACATCGAATAATTTTCAACACACAAGCAAACAAAGAACCAAAACACATCATACAAGAAAAAAATATCATCAGAAAAAAAAAGGGTCCACGAATTCAACCAAGAAAGATATATTTCCCCCACAAATTTTTGTTGAAAGGGGAAGAGGGTATAAACCCAAGAGAATACACTTCTCGCATAATACGAGTCTGAGAAAACTAGATAGAACACAACCCTCTCTAGTCTGCTAATTTAGTCAAGCGGTGAATTGTGCTTCTTGCAATCCTGTTACCAGGATCAAACTTCATAACAGTCCTCAGGTCTTCTGCCCCAAGTTTGTATTTTTCCATGCTCTCGTACAAGAGCGCGCGCTGTACGAGAACAGATACATTTGCTTCATCTTGTTCTAACGCCTACACCAACCAAAAAGATTATCCAGGCTATTAACTCTCTTGTTCTTACAAGCAAGGAATATAATGCCAATTAATGAATCTTAAAAAAAACCAAGATCCAAATAGTTCATTAAGATGGATATCAGATTTCTAAATACATTTTCGAATTGTTGGATATTTTGCATTTAATATAGGAATTGAATACGTCTTAAGGTCTTAGATACAAATAGTTCTGACTTCTGACTCTGACTTGAGAGCAATTTTCAAGGTTTACAAAATACAAGCTTGCAACACCGAAATATAATAAGCAGCAGTTCTAACTGGTTCATAAAGCAAGCATGTAACTTGATTCATTGATGCATTTTCTAACAACTGACACTTCACGATCCTTCCATTATCGGTCTAATCACTATACAAGAGATGGTATACAATTGGAAACGGCTTTCAAAATGTCAATTCATTGATGCATTTTCTAACAACTAACACTTCACGATCCTTCCATTATCGGTCTAATCACTATACAAGAGATGGTATACCATTGGAAACAGCTTTCAAAATGTCAATTAACACAATACAACCAACAACATCAATAACCAATATAGCTATGAACTATGAAGCATGTATGAGTTGCTAATTAATTGGCCACAAACTTCATCGTCAAAATAAGGAAGGAAGATTAAAACATGCACAAGAGAGTAAAATACCTACAGAATTGAGTAAAACAAGAAAGGTATCAAGCTAGTTACCGTTGTACAGTCCGCCACAGCTTTCTTATACTCCCCAACTTCCTTGTAACACGAAGCTCTGCTCGACAAAACCTCTGCCAAAACGGAACTGGTATCGCCCGCTTTCTCAAGAAGTACCACAGCCCAAGATAGCCACTTAATGGCATCAGCATACTGCCCCTGCTTGTAGTTATCCATCCCCTTGTTCTTCGCCGCGGACGCATTGACTCCAGCAGGTGGCGGCGGCAGCCCATCGAGCTCGGTGGTGGGGCCGCCATCATCGCCTCCGAACTCTGTTCCCACTCCCCAATCATCCATTTCCGATTGGGATTGTTGTAGTCCTCCAAGCCCATTACTCGGCGCAGTGGCGGTAGCAGTTGTGGATGAAGAAAAGAACATGCCAAGAGGATCAGAAGATGACTGAGGAGGAGGAGGAGCAGCCCTGTTTGTGGGCTTGAGAAAATCGTCCATGTTCAAACCAGAACTTGGGTTTGAAAATGTAAAACTGCTAGTTGGGAATGTATTGTTGGTGGTGGTGCTTGGTTTTGGGGCATTCTGAAAATCCCCAAAAACATTATTCCCCTGATCATTATTATTATTGACCTTACTATTCTTAGTATTGGAATTGGGATTACTCGATGGCTTTGAGCTAAAATCAACCAAAGAACCAAATGGATCCTTAGAGTTAGATCCAATTTTACCACCACCACTAGTATTATTCAAACTTGTCATCGAAGGACCACCAAGATTGGGACTTCTATAGCTATTTGGATTGACATTTGTATGATAATTCCCCGTAGATCCCCAATTCGTTTTCGGTAACGAATCGGCCATATTTCCCATCGAAAACGGAGACTTGTTCCACGCCGGAGTGGAATTCTTCAACGGAGCATTGGCGTTAGAGCCACCGGCGCCGGTCTTGTCTTGCCCTAGAGCGGAATTCACCAAATCGCCGAACAAGTTAGGGTTTTTATCGACGATCCCAATGCCAGAAGAAGGGTCGGAGGACCAGCTCTTGCCGAAGATGTCGCCGACCATGGAGCTCGGCTGACTCGGCGCCGCCGCGGGCTGGTGCGTCCAGGACGGTTTGGTCGGCTGCCAAGCCGGCTTCGACTGCGCCGAGGACGAGGAAGAATACGAGGAATACGAGGAATAAGAGGAGTTCTTGTTCTTCTTGTCGTTGAGAGATGTTGTTCGTGACGATCCGAGGCCGAGATCGAAATCGAAGTTCTTTCCGAAGTTGGAATTCATGGTTTTCTTTGAGTTCTAACCTTTGTCGTCGTGATTCAATTGAATTAAGAGATGGGAATGATGATCCGGTGCGTACCTGAGAGAGAAGAGGAAGTGGGGAGAGCAGATGTTGAAGAAGATCGAACCGTGAACTCTGAATCTTCTTCTCAGAGAGAGAGAGAGAGAGGTTTGGTTGGTGGTGCCTGATTGACGCGGAGCGGTATACGGAGCGGTATTCGGCAGCTTGCTTAAAGTGGGATTCTTAATGGTTTTTGCGTTTCATTAAAAAAAAAAAAATCAATTGAAAAAATAGGAGGTTTTTCTTTTTCTTTTTTTTTTATTTAGAAAAATTAGTTTCTGTTTAGTTAATGTGATTTAATTGGGGAAGAGAAATTACCCTTTTGCAAAAATAAAAAATAAATAAAAAATAAATAAAAGAGAACTTTCCCTTTTCGGCCGCATTAAATTAGGAAATGTTTTTGGTGGATAATTTGACGGTAATGTCAGTTTTGGAAGATTCACGTAAAAAGTGGTCTAAGAATGTCCCTGCCTTAAATTATGCGAATTTCTAATAATTTTACTTATATCTTTAAGTTAATTCATTAATAAAAGATTTTAGTAATATTAATTCATTAATAAAAATTTTAGTAATACTAAATGAGAAACGAATAGAAGATTTAGTTTATAAATTTAGAATCATTATTCTAATTTTTAAAATTTAAATTTTTTATGAGAAAAACACATTTAAAGAATTAAAAATTATGATTCAGAATTAGAGACGAATCCTTAAAACAAATATCCCTGAAGTAATTTTCTTTTCAAGATCTTGTCTTAAAACGGTAGTTTAACAATTGAACCCCAAGTTTTTGTTTCTTCGGTGAAAGTATTTTCTTTTCTTTTCTGCTTGAAATCGCATTGATACTCAAGTTTCAAGCCTCGTTTTTCACTTATTCGAGTTTTTCAACTCGAATTGACAAGTAAAATCAAATGAAAAAAATACTGTAATATAAATTGTTAAATTTAAATTTTTGAGGGAAAAAATACTATAACAAAAACTTTAACAGTAATTCGAACTAACAAAACGACCGGAACCTCAATTTTTAGAAATAACCTCATGATGGTCATATTTCCAAGATTCACAATTGTAACCAAGGATCAATTACGTGTATGATGAATCAAATTTCCAGCGAAAAAAAAAAATACATGTAATCACATGCGAGATATTATTTTAAAGCATCAAGTTGGTCTCTCTGATCCCTCTCTTTCTCTCTCAATTAAACTTCATAATCTCAATTATTGAAAAGGAAAAAGTTGGTTTGTCATAGCAACCAAAAAAAAAAAAAAAAAAACGTTTATCTTTCTGATAATAAACGCTCCATTTGGTAAGGAGAGGGAAATAAAAAGGATGGATCGCCAAATCAAATTACCACCTATATTCTCATATGGTTCTGAATCTTCTGATTATCAATCTATCCTATTAACCGCTAGAGCGAGAACAACTTTATCGAAGCCTACATAGAAAACCAGATTTCATCGAATCAACACAAGTCCTTTAAAATAAAATAAAAAAAAAAAAAAAAAACCAGCACAACAAAAACTTACAACGATACTACACATTTAACCATTGTCCCAACTCAAAAAGAAGCTCAAGAACCAGGATCCTTTCTATATTAGCAAAACTTTCATACTTCACAAAAGTCTGCCTCTTTCACATCTACAAACCAGGAGGGGAGAGAAGATTTTCCTCTCACTTTCTTTCAACCACATCCTCCATCAACTTCAATACTCCGCCAACCAGAAATTTTCTTCGCACAAGAAGAAGGAAAAAAAAAAGAAAAAAAAAAAAGAAAAACAACCATTTTCCTCTTTGATCTTTACTCTATGAAAATTGTAACCATTGATACAAGAAACCCCAAATTTTACCACACAAAAGAATTTGAAGATGGAAGGTTAGAATAGCTCAGGAATTCTAGCTGACCATGAAAGGTAAATATTCCATTCTGTTTGTGTAAGAAATATTACTAGTGGTAGGGAACGACGGTGTAATAAATCAAACAGAATAACGTAGTTATGTTGCTAAATCCGTATCCACATTAAGTAAATAGAAAAAGAGTGAGTGAACATAAGACAAGGGACAACACTTGCCAACACCCAGAAGGGTTCTTGAAGTATATTCAGAATCAGGAATTAGACAAACTACAATAAGATTTTTCAACTTGAATAAGCCAACAGATACCATTTCTCAAAAGGAAATTGTGATCTTCTTGACTCTCTACAAATGCCGTAAAAGGAAGGAAAGAATTGGTGGACAAGGAATATACAAAATGGCCAACGATGAACCACAAGCTAAGCACAAGATCCCACTACATTACTACACGAGCATATGATGTCAGATATCATAAAAAAACCGGAGACGGAGAAGAATTAGATGGACAATGATTCAAACAAATTAATTTCACGTGTATAATCAGGATTAAGTTCACGTATATAAGCAGATTAAAAAGTCATTAACCAATAGGATAAGATAAAATACCATAAACTTGCTTGTATTAAATTTAACTTCCCAGAAAATCAAAATATTCACCCGTGCCACTTACGAGAACGTAAATAGCGTCCATAAGTTCATTATGACAAGGATTACGATAAAAATATATAGAGCCCCCTAAATCATCATATAAGAAATACAATCAAGATTAAAGATACTAAATGCTAAGATTTCCAGATAAAAATTTAGAAGTTTTGAAATCTCAGACATGCTCCTTATTTTTTTAGTTAATTCAAGGAGACAGAAATATTGCAGGGCCAACCTGAGCCGCATCTGGGGCATCTAGCTGATGTTGGCTGCTCCACAGGCGCCTCCATCCAAGTCTTTAGTTCTCCTTAGCCTGCAGTTTTTCTTAATATTTGGACATGAATCTTCGAGCTTCGGTCCCATCCGCATTACCCATCCTTGTTTTCATCCTTGCGTTGCAATACTTCTCTCTCGAACTCCTGCATTTGTACTGTTAGCGCATCCAGCTGTTCTTTTGTCAGCTTCTTCTGAGGTTCCTCAGCTTTCTCGTAGTATTCGTCAGACCATATATCTGGCGAATCATAGTGTTCGCCGCTGCTTCCCACTGGCTCTATCTTTCTATTCTTCATTTTCTCTCTCAGCCTACCAAACAGTGCAGCAGTCTTGTCCATATCTTCACTTTCCTCCACACGCCCCTCCAATTCTTTGCTCTTGCTCTGTTGCGCCGGCTCTGTCAAGATTTTTTCTCTTAGCCTATCAAACGGTGCGGCGCTCTCCTCCTCGTCTGCAGTCTCCTCCAAGTTCTCGTGCGAAGGCTCTCGCTCCATAGTCTTCATTGTTTCTTTCAGCATATCAAACATTGGGTGGCGCCTCTCCAATTCTTTGCTTTTGCACTGTTGCGCCGGCTCTATCAATAATTTTTCTCTTAGCCTATCAAACGGTGCTGCAGTCGCCTCCAAGTTCTCGTGTGAAGGCCCTCGCTCCATAGTCTTCATTGTTTCTTTCAGCGTATCAAACATTGGGGGTCGCCCCTCCAAGGCTACATTTACGCCTTCTGTCAATATTTCTACATTCTTAGTTGGCCGTCCTTTAGTCACTCCTGCTGGCCCCTCCGAGTCCTCCAGACTGCTTTCCTCCACATTCTTTATTCTTTCTCTTAGCCTTTCAATGAAAGACCCTTCCAACTCTTCAGTCCCCTTTTTGTTCTCCTCACATTCTTCACTCTCCTCCAAGTCCTTAATACTATATTCCACTGTATCTCCTAGTTCTTGCTCGCCGAACCTATATTCTGGTCTAGGTACAACTTTCCCATCGACAAGTAAATCGCCTGGAACAAGAGTGAAGAAATAAGACATGAAGTTGCTAATACTTGTGTGGTAGTTTTAGACCCAAGGAACCATAAATCTCCACTGTTTCTCGAAATCCCAATTCATCGAAAAACTCACCTCCATAGTCTTTGTTAGGAACGTCAAGATATGAATCCGGCAAAACCCAAAGAACACCGGGTAATCCTATGCAACCAAAACAATTCAAGTGAACAATCAGGCAAAGATTCCAATAAACCTACAATCCTAAAAATAAACAAAGTGGTCTAGACAAGCAAGCTTCAAACCTACAAACTTGAAAGATTAAGAACGACATTAATCAAGTAGATTGACAACCTCAATTGAGGAGTTGTTTGTAAATTATACTCAAACCTAAATCATAATTCTACTATAGTGTTTTTTATCTCCCAAAGAATTTGAATTCTAAAATTTCCTCTCTTATGAAGTTCCCGCGAATGAACCTCAATCATAATTTGAGTATACATTCTAAACGGTCCTGAGATATCAGAGTAAAACAGACGCATATGACAATCTACAAGACAAACAACAAATACCCAATAGTAAAGAAAAATTAAAAATTATACCTTTAAGATTCTGGGAAAGATCCCGGGAAACCAAAGCACCAAAACCAGTAAAGGTGGTGGTGGAGACCGAGTATATCTTCTTCTTCGCCTCCTCCTCGCTTTTTTTTTTTTTTTTTTAAACCAACAAATTATCAAACCAGAGAGAAAGAGAGATAGATAGATAGACAGATAGAGAGAGAGAGATGAATAGTGAATACCTTCCCACAACAGCGGCGAGGGTCTTGATGTAAGTGTCGACCATTTCGTCTTCGGAGGGCTTGGGATCCTCGGGGAATCGCATGATGACGAGCCAGTGCTCGAAGTCGCAGCCGTCGATGGTGATCGTCTCGTCCACCTCCTCCGTCGGGTTGCCCCATATCGGGTCGTCCCGGCTCGGCGGAGAAGCGGTGGTGGTGCAGAACCGGAGGGGTGGTCTGGCGGAGTCGGGGACTAGTTGGTTGAGGAGCGCAATGAAGAAGCGGTGGCGAGAAGAGATTCTGAAGAATGAGGTTGAAGAAGAAGAAGAAGAAGAAAGAGGATATGAAGAGAGAGAAAGTGACTTGCGGAGAAGAGAAGATGAGGTGCGCCTGAGAGCGGACACGAACGCCATTGCCGAATGAATGGGGTGGCGGCGGTGGTGGTGGGAAATCCGAAATTGGAATTCTCAGTAAATTTTAATGGGAATAGAAGAGACATTCTGTCGTTGAGTCGTTGGTTCCCAAACGACATGCTTCTTGACCAGTAGGGACTGGGGACCACAAGGCGTATTAGTTAAATTACAAGAATGACCTCTATATTCACATAGCTTTTGTTTTTACTTTTAGCCAATAAAAAAAGAGAAAGAGACTTTTTAATAAGTGTTTAGAATTAAGAATTTAATGAGTTAAAATGATTTTAATTTTTTTAATGAGTAATAAAAGTGTTAGAATAAAGCAAATAATGTCTTAATAAAATTTTGATATAAATTTTAAAATCTATTTAAAAGTACTCTTTATAAAAATTATAATTTCTAAGGGCTTGTTCTTTTGTTATTTTTGAGTTAGATGACTTGAGTGTAGATTTTGAGTTGAGTTTGAGTTATAACTTGAGTTGAAGTTGTAACTTGAGTTTGTGTTTAGTTGTGTATATTTGAGTTATGGTTTGAGATAAAAATCTTTTTGAGTTTGTGTTTGAATGAGTCAAAACTTGAATTGATATTTATATAGTATTTTAATAAAAACTCAATGCTGATGGAAAATTTTAATAGGGTATATAGGTGGGGTTTTATTCGTCTTTTCGTTGTCAATGCATAGAAAAAAAATCATCTCAATCAGAATTAAAATGAAAAAGGTATAGTATTTTTAAGAATAAAAAAAATATTGTTCATTAATTTGAGTTTGAGTTTCTGAACTTGAGCTGAAGGGGAAACTTGAACTCGAATTTTAATCCCAAACTCGAGTTCAAACTTAAAAAAATATAACTTAAATAAAGTTATAACTTGAATTACTTTTTTTAAGTTTTTAACTCAAAAAAAGGCTGCCAAACAGCCCCTAACTTTGATTGAAAGTATTTTTAAAAATCAAAGCACTCTTAACAGAAGATTCAAAACACTTTTAAAAGCATCTTTTACACTGAAAAGCTAAAAACAGCTTTTAAAAGCTCTATCACAGAGACATTATCACACTCGCACCAGTTGATCACTGTCATTAATTCTCCTAACTGAAGGACATAAGACATTATTATTCTGTTTTGAATTCACTAATATTCAGTAATATTTCACTCTTTTTTTCCCCATAAAACAGTGATATCATATTCTTGAGATAAAATTATTTTAATACTCTGTGGTATAATAAAACATACTCTTAATATTATGTCTTTTTTTATAATATTAAAATGATATTTTAACATTTTTAAAAACATATTAATATTCTGATCTGATTTTTGAGCCACGTAATATCTAAACTACCCTTTAATAGAAATCAATACTTTTTAAAAATATTTTAAAACATTAAACTATTTAAAAAGAAAACAACAAATAAAAAAGTTCATTATTTTTTTTTCTAGATTTATTAGTTTTTAGTTAATTAAATATAAGGATATTTAGTTCATTTTACGTGTTAAAAATTAACTTTAGACATCAAAAATATGTTTTTAAAAATGTTGATGTACTGTTTTAAAACACATGTTACTAAGAATATATTTTGATTTTATCCTTATATTCTTTACTCTCGCATGTCGCCATTCAACAATATGTTGATGGTAAAAAAAAAAAAAAAATCTCGTCTTTAAATAACAACAAAACTTAACAAGATTCAAGTAGAACAACTTTGTTCAATAGTGAACGAGGAAAAAAGATCCCAGAAAAGAGAGAGCCATACTGGGTTCTATCTGAAAGTTATTAAGGCGATAGTTTTTCAGTGTCATAAGAAATGTTAGCAGAATTCCATTTGCTTATGCAATTTGTTTTTCTGTTATCTTTTCGTAAGATCCAAAAATCATTTATATCGACTTTCTAGTAGAGTAGAATAGTTTGTTCTTGGATATTCCTTTTGCTTGCACCATGAGATGCTAGACAATCTCAAGAAAAAGGCTCAGCCTCATTGTCTGACCGTTATATATAAGGGTGGCAATTCGTGTGGGCGAGCCAGTGTTCGGGTTGAAAGTCAATATTTGTAGAAGCTGAAAAGAAAAGGGCTTAGCAACATATACTCTTTTTAACTCTATTGAAAATAGGCCGCATAAGTTCGTTTCTGACCATACATATAAGATATAAGATCACAATTCAGTATCATGAGTTCTACTAATACTTTCTGAAAATGCTGTGCATCTCAGATATGCTCATCTTTCCAATTCTGAAAATCCGCAGTTGAAAACATCATACAGGTTTCTAGAATAACATAAAATTATGCTCATAAATCAAATAAAGTTCACAGAACAAACTGAGACTCAACAACATATATTCACCTAACTCATAAAAGATGCAGAAAAGAAGCTTTGTTAAGTTTCTCACTACACATAATCAGAGGACTTTAGGGTAGTCGTCTCTAACCATTCACATGAGATATACGACCGGAATTTCAGTACCCTGAGCTCCAAGATTCTCTAAAAATATTGTGAAATTCAAACTTTCCATTGAGAAATTCCGCAACCTCAATCCCTATCCATGGCATCCAAGTTTTGCGCCCTGTTATGCATTGGCTCTCTCCTCTCAACCTGCATTGCTTCTCTACGCCTATCGAACCGTGGGCGAGGCCTGTTCCTACTCGGCTGTTGCCTATCACTGAATCTAAACTGAGGTCTTGGTACGACTTTCCCATCAATAAACAAATCCCCTGAAATCAGACAGCAAGAGAAAAGAAGCAAAGGTAAAATATATCAAATAACTGTATTGTAAATTAAGCTTCAAGGAATGACAAAATTCGCATTGATTTGAACTCATTGACAAAGCTCACCTCCATAATCTTTGTTGGGAACATCAAGGTATGAATCCGGCAAAACCCACAGAACACCAGGTAACTCTATTTTGTAAAAAAGAAAAAAAAGGAGGAAAAAACAATAATTAGGCCAATTCTAATAAACCCACAGATTGAAATAAACCAAAAAGTGCTTAAAATGCAAGCTTTAAACTCTTCCTGTTTGAAACACCAACAACAAATAATTAACCAGACCAAATACAAAATTGAACGAAATATATCATAAAATCTATCAAATAAAAACACCTACAATGATCCACCAATAAAAACACCAAATATCCAAATTTTAAGCCAAAGAAACCATAAAACCCTAATCTTTAAGCCCTAAACTCCAAAACCAAGAAAAAGGAAATACCTTTTACTTTGAGAGAAAGCTCCTCAGAAATCAAAGCACCAAAACCAGTATACGTAGTTGTGGAAACCGAGTATATCTTCTTCTTCGCCTCTTCCTCGCTAAAACCCAATATATCATTAAAAAAACAAAATAATTTATGTATTTTTTTTAATTTGAATTTTATTAAAAGAGTAAGCTCAGTACCTTCCCAGAACCTTGGCTAGGGTTTTGACATAAGAGTCGACCATTTCTTCTTCAGAGGGCTTGGGATTCACGGGAAACTCCATGACAATGAGCCAGTGCTCGTAATCGCAGCCGTCGAGAAGGATCGTCTCCTTCGGCGGCCGGTTGCTCCAGTTCGGCGACGGATCGTTCAGCGGCGAGTAACCCGAACCGGAGTTCTTGAACCGGACCGGCGCTTTGACCGGTTCGGGTACGAGTTGTTGTTGTTGGTTAAAGACGGCGAGAGCGAAGCGGAAGCGAGACGAGGAGACTGAGGTTGATGAAGAAGAAGAAAAGAGAGTTCGGCTGAGGGTGGATGCTATTGTGCGCCTGGCGACGGAGTACGCCATTGCCGAGAATAGAGGCTGCTTCTGTACTCTCTATCTGTCTCTCTCTCCGAGTGGTGTCGAGTTCTAATTTGCATTTTCAGCTCACAGTCTAAAACGTTCTTTTAGCACTTTTGCCCCAGATTTTTTTTTTTTTGGATTTTCCCATTTCCCTATGAATTTTAATTTGTACTTCAACTTGCTAAATTATTACAATTTATTATTTTTTGACATTTTTTTGGTCGGATTCTTGATTTATAGATTTGAGGTATTTGTTTTAGGATTTGAATTAAAATTCCTAGAAATAAGATTTTCATGTATAAATTTTGCGGGTAAAATTGTTAATTAAGGCATAGTTCAGTGGCCAAACTTTGTTTTTTCTTTTTGCGCTTTTTACCATTCAGGGGCATTATGGGTATTTTAAACGATGCGTTACTGTTAATTAAGTTAGATGAGTGTTACTGAAATATTTATAAAAGTGAGGGGGTGTCATTGTAGTTTTCCTAAATTTCAAAAACGACAACAAACAGTAACCCTTACAAACGACAATAAGATAACACTTAGTAAACGGCGACGGTTGCAAGAACAACGACAAGAATAAGAGAATCTCTTACAAACGGCAATAAATAAAAAACCATTAATAATTCAAAGACAACAATGTTACAAAAAAAAAAGAGGCAAAAATTGACAGAACGGCAATTATTTGCAACGGAAGACGTATATTCCCAAAAGCGAACGTTTTTAACTGATAAAAATCACTATTATCCTCTTGAAAAGAGTCAAAACGACAAGGGTTCTAATAATGACAACAACATTAAGAAACGACAACAATATTTCAAATTAACATGAGTTCATAAACAACGTCACATAGTACAAACAACAACAGGAATAAAAGAGAAACTGTATTTGTATAAATATCATATGTTTTATAAAACCACAATGATTATGAAAACGACGCCACGTCAACGTTTATTTAATAAAACGAGAAATTATACACATGACAATTATGCGTACGAAAACAGTAGATAAACGGGCAGCAACCAAAAACGACAATTTACTAGCAATAAAAAACGACAATTTTTTATAAACAATGAAATGAAATAACCAACAACATCTATCTAAAGGGCAAAAAAAGATGCGGCACTAGTAATACAAAGGATTATGACTTTACAAAAAAAACATGGACACGAAGGACAATAAGAATAAAACTGATACTAATTTTTAAATTGAAAACAAAAGCGATACTAATTATGCAATAGACGTTTGAATCATAGAACGTTAATTTAATGAAAAACGCAATGATTCTTAAATAGGAACGCCAATAGTAATACAGTTGAGACAGTAAGCATAAAAACGACATTCTTATTTCTTAGTAATAAACAACTTGTGCTTCATAAAACGACAAGATTTGCTAAAAACACCAGCTTGACTTTATGGGGACACCAAAAAAAAAAAAAAGAAAAAGAAAAAATGACAGAACTAAAAAAGCCAACTGTTTTAGAAAAGATAATCTCGTCAAAACCACAATACAATGGAGACGATATTAAATCCAATAAAGACAATGATGTAAAAAATGACGATTCCTTTACAAACAGCATCATATGATTAGACAAGGAAAAACGATCTTATTTGCCAAAAAATAAAAAAGCTTATTTCTTAAAATGACAATAAGTGGTAAGATGATAGTAAAAAAAAACAACTAACTTATCACATTATTTAAGTCTCCAAATAATGAACACAAAGAAATAGAGCATCAATACTCTTTATCACATGATTCTACGCAATTCTTTTTTAAAAAAATGAAATGAACAGAGGCGGATCAAAGATCACTAAAAAGAATTAGGGGATGTTTGGTACCTAGATTCGTTTTCTGATTTGAATCATGGTTCGTGATTCGCTACAGTATTTTCTCTCATAAAAAATACACATAAATTAAAAATGATTCTAATCACATGATTTTAATCCATGAACCAAATATCTTCTTAATAATTATATTAGATTTAGTTGTACCAAACAAACAGTTAGTAGAATTATGCATCATATAAATATTTTTGCTCTAATTCTTGATGGTACTTACGAAGAATATGGCTAGAACCCACTTAAAATTATTTCATTTGAAAGAAAGTTCCATTTGAAACCAAACTATAGCCCTCCTTTCTCTTTCAATGAAACACAAATATTATTAAATTAAGCTTGGTAGAGAAATATTTAAGGAAGTTAAATGTTAATTTTTTTCGTCTAATGGCAAGTTACATGCGGGTTTATCAAACCACCGTAACCGACTCTCGCGTTAGAACACGTGGCAGTGGCGGGTCCCTTGCCAGTGTACTTCAAGTCAATGTTGTAAAGGTGAATGTTGTCGCATGGATATTGTGGGCTGCACATGAAATCCACAGCGACATCTGAGCTTGATGTTCCTCTGACGTTTATGTAGTGAACATTGCTAATCTTCACACGCGAAGGCTTCACAAAAAAGCCAAAAAAAAAAAGAGAGTTGTATAAAATTAGGAAAATGCTTATAATAGCTCAAAGAAAGCAAATCTTGACAATATTGGCCTATTTTCTACTATTTCTATTTTTTTTGTTGAATAAAAGAAAATGATATTCATTTAGTGACGATCACTACAAACTGATAAATATATTCACATGTGGGATTCTTTTGTTTCGCATTGCTTTTTCTCTTAATCATGAATATGACCCAAACTAATATTGTATAGGTCACATTTAGTAAGATATAGAGGCAAGACCCTTTGTATTTAGCATTAAAGTTTGTTAAGAGATTTTTACTATTCATTACCGATAACAATGATCGTTACAATTAATAGAAGAGAAAATTTCATTTTAGTACCCTTTATTATATTAAAATTTGAGTTTAGTATCCTCTATTTTTAAAAATTTCATGCCGATACCTCGATCTTTTAAAAAATCTTTTTTTTGATACCTCAGAGTCATTTTTTGGGATACAAATAGACAAAATTGTCCTTAATATAAAAATTCATCTATTGACCAAAATTTTGAAAAAAAAGGATTTTAAAAATTATTATTCCTGCAGAACATAATCTTTTTTTAAAAATTCATCTCTTCAAAATCATTTTTTCTTCAAAATTCTGGTCAAAGATGAATTTTTTACAATAACGATAATTTTGTCTTTTTGTGTTCCAAAAAATGATTCCGAGGTACTAAAAGAAGATTTTTTAACAGAGGATACCAAAATAAAATATTTTACCATAACGGTAATTTTGTCTTGTTCACTAGTGACGATGAATATAAAAGGTTTGTTATATATATATATAAAGGTAAAAACCTGCTTTTTGCAACCGCTAGGGCAGTAGCCTTGGTCGATGATGATCGGGTTTCGAACGTTGTCCATGAAGAGGTCTTGGAAAATCATGCCACTAGCTTGGCTTGGAGTTGATCCTGGCCATGTCTTGATTCTAATTCCATTGTCCGTCTTCAAAAATGTGGTGTTCTTCACGATGATACCTCTCACATCTTCCTCATTTTCATATTTTCCCAGGCTGCCAACGCTGTAGCGGACAAAAAGCACAAAATAATAGAGTCATCTACTACTGCATGCAATGGCGGATTTAAGTACAACTCAGTGGAGGTTACCCCCCACTCAAATTTTTTTGAAAAAAAATTACCTTTTAAAATTTTAAAATTTTACACTTAAACCCCCACTGAAATAATATATGTCATCACTAAAATAAATATATTTTCTTATATGCTCTTTCACTAAGATAATTTGTTAAAAAAAAATTAGTTTACACCCCTACTGAAGTGAAAGGCAGGCTCCGCCACTAACTGCATGCATGAGAAACGACCAAAGTCGAAACTAAGGAATTTGTTTCAAGGGCATAAATGTACCCTTGAGACAGATTTACTAGAGACGGGTTTACTATTTTGTTCCATTTTTTATTTGTGTATTTTTTAACTTTTGTTCTTCCTTTAATTTCCCCTCTTTGTGGCTCTATCTATCTTTTTCCTTTCATTTCTTTCTCTAAATATAATTAAAAATTAAGTTCAAACCCAAAAGAATATGATGGACCAAGCTAATAATTGCTGTATTTGGTCTTTGTTTGAATTCTATTATAAAATTGGACAAGTTAGTGATGTAATATTTACACTTTTTTTTTAATAATTGAGGGCATAATTATGACTCCGTTTATTTTACTGATTTGAGTTTAAAATTCGAGTTTTGCTACAGTAAAAGCTCTTAGAAATAGTCACATTTAACTTTTTTACTACAGTAAAAAGTTCTTACATAAACTCACATATTAACTTGAATCAGCGAACTAATAGTTTCTTGTGTAATTGCATTTTTTGTTTAAAAAAAAAGATAAATACATGCAAGTACTAAAAACTTTGAGAAACGCTTATAATATTATTTGAGCTGAGAAAAGTAATGTTACCTAATGCCATGTCCAGGGCCACAAATAACTTTGTTGATGGCAATGTTGGTGGATCCTTTGATCATCCCAATGCAATCATCGCCAGTTCTAATAACAGTTCTGCTTATTCTCACATTGTTGGAGTTGCTAATATGGACGCCATCAGTGTTTGGGCTAGTTGCAGGAGCAAACACATGGAGCCTCCTTAGCCTAATGTTTTGACACTGAGTGATGAAGATGTGGACCCCTTTGCTATTAGCAGAAGTAAAGCCTCTCAATACACCATTTGTAACCTTGTTGAGCTTTATGTTCTTCACCAAAACAAAAAAAAAAAAAGAAAAAAAGAAAAGAAAGAAAACCATATAACCATACTTAATTAGTTTCCTATATAGTTATTGTAATTATATGCCTTGTAAAGAATGTAACGGAAAGCAGTGGCGGAGCCATAAAACTTTTTCGAGAATTTTTTACTTAAAAAAAGTCTGTTTATTTGGATTTTTAAATTAATACAATTGAGTATAATTAAAAGAAAAACCAATGACACTTACATAACTGTAATTTTAATTTAAAGAAAATTTTCAGTTGGGAGAAATTAGGTAGAGTAAAAATATTAATTAACAGATCTTTTTTTTAAAGTCATTAGGGATTAGATGTTATAGGAAACCTACAGAGGGGAGTTGAACACAATCATTGTTATTATGGCAGTCATTGTATTTCCAGGCAGACTCGCCTTGGCCGTCGAAAGTGCCCGATCCGATGACCACCAGGCCATTTATCGCCTCGAATAAGAACCATTGAGGCTCATCATACAAAGAGATATCTGTATCAGCTTTTAAAGTGCCTTGAATATGAACGATTATGGGTCCTCGACCGCCGCATGGCCCGGCAAACGTGACCGGTCCGAGCTTGTAGATCCCCGGAGGGATGAAAACCCTTGCTTTTCCTTTGTAGTGACATGCTGCAACCCATGTCTGCATGAAAGCCTGCAAACAAAAAAAAAAAAAAGAAAGAAAAAAGAAAAAATTCTTAGAATTTTTGGAATCACGCTTCTTTTGCTTATTATGATTTACATATGTAGTTTTGCTAATGATAATTAGGTCAAAAGATATGAGATAAGATGGACAAAAGACATGAGATAAGATGGAGTGGGGCTTGAGTTTGAGAGGGATCCCACATTGTTAAAATAATACAATAGTAACACTGACATGGTTATATATTATTGTCTATTTCTTTTCATCCTAAAACCAAGTAATGATTGTTAAAAAAACATTGTAAATTTATTTTCTCTAATAATGAACCTGCCTCATAACTTCACAATCAGATTCAAATTGGAAATATTTCGTGGTACACGGATCAATCCCAGGAGTGGTTAAATTGAAGGGGGGAAATCTTTGTAATACATAAGATCGATAATATAGGTCACGATAAGACAATATGACTAAAAAATGACACAAATTTTAAGGGTTAAAATTAGAAAAAAAAGAGGCTATAAAATTGGCTTTTGATTCTGATCTTATTATTTAGACCTAAGGATCAGACACTTGTTCTACAATATTCACCTCTGTGTTATCTTTCCTTCCACCGGGCTTAGCTCCAAAGCTTAAAACGTTAAAGATCTTCTCAGTAGGATCAGCTCTCTCGTGGTGAGCCAAATTGGTTCCTCGGAAAGTGTCGGGAGCCGGAGGCAGCGGGACTCCGGTCACACAATAAGCCAGTGATAGGCACCAGATAAGATTGATAATATTGTGGCAAGACCTTCTTGTAATGGCCATTGCCACACTTCTGAAACCAAATTGAAATGCAACAATTTGTTTTTGTTTTTTTGTTCCTTTTCTTTGAGATCAAATGATCTCCGGAGAATTCATGCCGACCAAATAAAACAAAAAAAAAGAGGAGAAAAGTATGCCAACTTTTATTTTTGAGGTAAGAGTAACCTCTCTTTCCGTTTCTAAATCTTATACCTTGTTTTAGCTAAGCATGTTGTTATTAGCACTTCTATTTTGGGAGATACTAAATCTATGGATTTTGGAGGTACTAAATCTATGGAGGACAATGATTGAGTTGTTAATTTTTTTCTTTTATGGTTAAGTAATTGGTTTCGCTAAAGTTAGTGATGCTCGCCTACTTCTTCTCCACGAATCTTTGTCTTGGTCACAAATTCAACGGCAATCCTTTTTTTTTTTTGTTGTTATAAAGAGATTTATAAATTTCATTGTATAATTTCTTGATTTTGGGTTTTTAATATAAGGCGCAATAAATATGTATATATATATATATATCACTTTAGTATACTTCGGGATTAGTTATTGTAGTTATATCTAACATTTCCCACATATAGGAACAGTTTTTTATTTTTTTATTTTTTTTTTATTTTTTATGACTTTAATCGACTTGGGTTTTTCGTCAAAAAAAATAAAACCCCCCCGAATTTGGTGGTTTATTAACAATTGGCAAAGCATGAATATGAATCTGAAAGGATTAATTAGAGTCTGTAGTCGTAGGCCGTCCAAATTATTTGACACCAAAATTGCTTGTCATCTTAGCGTTTATATAATATAAAAGCTTCTTGTTTATGTCAATTATAGCTTCTATATATATAATGTCACTTGCACGCCTCGCTACTCGAAGCATTTATACGTACTGACCTTTTACCGTTTGATGTTGTTTTTCTGTTACTCGGGTTGATGCCCACCCGATTAACGTTAATGTCACGTTCAAATGTTTGTCGTTTTAGTAAGATTATTGTCGTTTCAATATTGATGTCGTTTTTGTGTTATCGTCGTTTCATATGTTGATGTCGTCGATCTGAACTGAGGGGCAAAATAATGCATAATTGCAAGGGCAAACAGCATGAAACGATAGAAGTTAATAAAGCTAGTACGTAGAGGTATAATTCGTTGCATTTTGATCAAGACCTTTTTTTTAATTAAAAAAAAAAATCTTTTTATAAGATTTTGAGATTTTTTTTTTGGTACGATGAAATAAAAACAACTTGTATATTCAAACTAATTAAAATATTTACTTCCCCGAAAACTTAAGTTATTAATGAAATCATCTTTTTTAGTTAGTGACGTTGTTATGATTATGTCAAATGGAATTAATAGTCATATAAGTACTTTAGCAGTGTTTACCTTACGCATAAGCTACATGCAAGTTTGATGATTTTCACATTTTTAAAAGGAAAAGTTTTATTTTCCCAGCTAACCTTGCAGAGATTAAATATTACAAATTGATTCTATATTTTTCTTAGGTGGGTTGGAACTTTTTTTTTTTTTTTTAATCAAGAAACTGAAAGAATTATGTCAACTTGTTAATACGTACAAGAGTGGCCAAAGGATGAATCAATTAAGTCGATAAAACTAAAGTTACACTAATTTTATAATAAAGTAGCATACTGGGATTTTAGGTGCACAAAATTAGCTCATTATATAGAACAATTTCTAGCACTTTTATTTCGATCATATCTACAGGAGTTGCTAGGAGATATAGAAACTATTTCCTCACATTAATCATCACAGTAAGATTTTAGCTAAATAGGATAGATACACCCACATCACTACTACTTCCATAGCACTAGCTAGGAGCTATGTTGTTATTAGTATCGATGATTTATACAAGAGTTTTACAGTAGCAACTAATATAATTGGAGAAAATTATAATACGTAGTAAGTAACTCATATAGAAGTGGTAATTATTTTCAATTTTTAATAACCACCCTGATTATTAAACATGAAACCACCATACTTTTTGGCTGCCTCCTTGCCGCCTATGGTGACGGGTTCCCCAATTTGAGGAACTTGGTTCCAATTCATGTAATTATTGTTAGGCGGTTCAGGTCCTTGCCTTCTATAGGCACCGGGATTTCTCTCACCTCGGTTAGGCGGCCGGCCATACAGCTCGTCGATCATGGCGAAGCCTTCAGCCGCTATCCTTGCAAGGCGATCTGTCTGAGTTGCCATGATATTGTTGTCTCTCTCTCTCCGAATCATAAGATAAGAAAACAGTATTAGCTAGCTATACTTAGTTTTATCTTGTTGCTTTGGTTACAAAGCTTTGAGTGGAACGTCCCATTTTATAGGAAATTAGAGTGTGTGTGAGCCCCCTAAAATTTTATCTTGTGGATAAGTATCCATAAGTTACAATCAGATTACTGTATTTAAGAATTTTCTCTTTTGCTCACTTTATTCCTTTCGAACCCCCATGGGGCACAATAATTCTAACAACTTTATGAGTGTGCATGTACATATCTATTTTTCATCTATATCTAGTACACAAATTTACCAAATGGCCATGCAATTTTTATTCTTGCTTGGACCATGTGATGAAGAGTTGGTAGATGATTTGTTTTATTGCCCTCTCAGAAACTCCAACTACAAAGTGGGAATAGATTTTTTTTTTTTTTTTTTGCCAGATATATAATCTTTGATGCAAAAATAAAAAGTTTAAGAAAAATGTTTGGTATACTATTGTCGCTAACCACCACAATTAATAGAAGATAAGCCTAATTTAATAGACTTTATGATGTGGACTCGTTCTTTACTAGTATGTGATGGTTAACAACATCGATGTCACTAGCATAGTCAAAAGTTCGGCAAAAGTACGATTCCCAGGTTGAAGATAGGCAGAAACGACAAGCCTCTCACATATGCCTTGGTTATTTCTTTTTCAAGATTTTTGTGACAAAAGATGATACTGATCTGATTATGTGATAAAATTTGTAAGCATTTATTTTGCATTAGGATGTGTGGATTTTGACTTGGTCGACTGTGATGAAAATTGGTGAACGACAGTTTTCCATTGCAATTCGCTTTCGATCTTTACTTCCTAGAATCAATTAGGGAGTGGATGGGACTAGTTCTGGGTGAACCTGATTCCTCACTTTCACCAAAAGAAATTACTTTGTGATCCGATTCATCCAAATCCCAAAATGTTCTTGTTCCAACTTATCTATTAATGATGGTGACTCGGAAAAAGGTAGAAATATCTTTCATAATTTGTGATTTATAAGTCTATTTATGGAGCATTCAGCGCAAAAACATGAAAGAAGAAGAAGAAGAATGTTTGTGCATGAAGTTTGGTGAAATTAATCAATGAACTTCATTAATGATAAGGATCGTTGAAGTTTATAATTAGAGAATTTCTCTAGTAGTTCCTGAAAAAATAGACTATAGGTAGTTCTCTATTTTTCAATCGTTAGATCTGCATTAAAATCTGTATGTATACTTTTTCAATCTTATATGATTTTGACCAAATTCAACAATCAAAAACTGGAACTACCGGTAGACCGACTTACGTTAGAAGATCCTTATAATTATTAGAAATCAAAATATAGAAGGTATTTGTAATATTAACTTAGTTTCTTGATTATAGGGGATTTCAAAAATTTAGAATTTCATTCAAATACAGATATATTGTATCTAGAAAAATACATTATATCCAAACATTAATTGTTTTCTCTCAATTTTTATTTATAATACGAAACTCATTGATAGCGCTCCTTAATTACTAGTCATCTTATCTCCTCTCTTATAAATTTTTGTGTTCTCTTCTTCCTTTATATTCTTAATTAATTATTTTTCGCACCTTTATTACTAGTACATCCTATCTCCTCCCTTATAAGTTTTGTGTTCTCTTCTTCCTTTATATTCTTAATTAATTTTTAAAATGGTATCGGAGCTTTATCTTTTCAACTAGCAATATTTAGCTCCATGCTATCGCCATTGACGATCATTGTCTATGCACTTCTACAACCTCAACGATTGTCATCCTTGCCCTCATACGCCCTCGATGAGTGTCATATCTAATTCCCGACACCCTTTGATGATTATAGTTGTTATGCTGTTGATGATTGTTGTCCTTATGCCCTTGCCCCCACCGTCTTTATTTTCTAGGAAGATAAAAAGAACGAAATCCAAAAACTCTCCTAAATCTTTAAACTAACTCATAACAGTTTCTTCTATCGCGGTCCAAAATTGAAATCTCTGACTGAAATTCCATCCTACTGGGGCATGATAAAGGTAGTTGTATTGTGTAATTATTAGAAATATAAAATTTGTCGGGTTCTGGTGGATTCAGAGGGTCGACGTGTCGGGGATTGACACGTGTAAGCACACGGTTTATCAGAAGTGGATCCTACGTGGCTGAGTATCGATGTGGATGAGGACGGCGGGACCTCTAATGAAGAAGTGGGGATGGTTAGACCCAAATTAGGCAAAAAGACGTGTGTCCTAGGACCCTCTTTGTTGCTGAAATGACGAAATGCCCTGCAAAATGCGTTAGAGATTCCGCAAAAAACAATTAAAAGAACTTAAGAGATGAAGAATGGTGGGAGGTATGACCAAATAGGACCCTCTTTGTTGCCGAAGTCGAAGGTGCATTGATGGAGAAGTGCTCTGGAGGCAAGCGCGGGCTGCTTCAGGAGCGAAGATGGTGACTCAGGTGGTGGATAAGGCTTAGAGGAGAATGAGAGTGAAGTTAGCGAGGTGGATAAGGCTCTGGTGGAAAGAACTTCAAGAGCAGCGCGTGTTGCTCTGGGAACGAGAACAATAGTTGGAGCACTTGCTCCGACAGTGAGTAGAAGTGACCTCGAAAATGAAGACTTGAATGTTGCCGAAAAATGTATGAAGAAACTTTGAAAAGTTTTGAGATGGTGGTGGAAATGGATCAAAAAGTGTTTTAGAAAGGTTTCCAGACTGTCAACACTTAGAGGCTTTGAAGGACTTTGAAGAGCTTGAAGAACCTCAAGTCTTTATAGCAAGAGACTAGAGAGTCTGAAGGAAGTAAGAAAAGGTAATCTAATGAGGATGAAAGTAGTGGCTGGTGCTGATGGTGGATGAACCCCCCCTGAAATGAACGAGAT